CATCAAACGCTGTCACAGTAAATGGTATATTGTATACCAGATGCTTGCTTTGCGGATGTTGTAATACCTGAGTCTTAAGCATTTTTCCTAGTTGAATTCTTTGCTGGAACCGTTTTTGCTGCTGACAGATGAGAGGTGCTCAGCTAGAATGTTGGCCTTTTCTTTGACTATATTGGCGTTGGCTAACTTGGGAATTTTTGTAGGTTGAAGCTAACCCCTGATTGCGTGTTATTTGCTCCAGACTGTTTTAGTATTTGTTTGTTTCATTTGGAGATTGCAGAAGGTAAGCCATGACTCTTGTTTATAATCTTCTGTGGGCTGTCACGCACACGTACATGCACGTCGCTATATTAGTGCAATAATTTTGGACGCAAAGTTAAACTCCATTTCACCTCACCTCACTTCTACTCCGACCACTATCATTTCTACTCCCGCAACTATCACATCTACTACCGCCATTCGCACTTCTATTCCCGCCACTATCACATCTACTCCCGCCATTCTCACTTCCACTACCGCCATTCTCACTTCTACTCCCGTCACTTCTACTCCCGTCACTCTAACTTCTACCCCCGCCGCTCTCACTTCTACTCCTACCGCTTTCAGTTCTACTCCCTCTCTTCTCACACTTCTATTCCCGCCACTCTTACTTCTTCTCCCGCTATTCTTACTTCTACTACCGCCATTCTCACTTCTACTCCAGCCACTATCACTTCTACTCCAACCATTCTCACCTCTACTTCTACCGCTCTGACTTCTAATCCCACCGCTGTCACTTCTACCCCTACCGGATACAGGAGAAAGATATATAACATATAATAATTTTCAGTGGCTTTTTAAGGTTTCATACACAAAAGTCGTTCCTTTGCATACACAATACAATAAAAATTAATTGACAGGTAAATATAATAAACAAATTTTGTTTGACACTGGCACACCTAAGTTCATCATTTTGTTAGTCATGGAAATATAATATTAGCAACGTTTAAAAGCCCAAACACTTGGGGCTTTCCTCCCACATTAAGCTGACACGCCGTGATATGACTGGAATACTGTTAAGAGCGGCGTTAACCCCAACTCACTCACTCACTTTAAAGCCAATGTATACCAACACTCTGACTCATTATCATCTCAAAATGGCGAGCGTGACACTGAGAAAAGCGGAAGTGAGCAATGTCACGTGGTCTTGGCGCCACAACTGAAATAGGACACCCTTCTCTCCACAGCTGCCGCGAGCAATCTACCAACCCGACTGGACAGTAAAGTCGCTTTTTGCTAAGTTTAATTCTGGCAGCTTTTACTTAATAATTTCGTTGAATTCAGGTTTACTTCTCAGTGTTGTGAAATGTGGACAACAGAGGCTAGAGCTGCTGATGATTGTTCGACAGACATGGAAAGTCGTCCTTCTTGTCATAGTCTTATGAATATTGTTTGTCACTCTGAATCTCACCCGTGAAGATCAAGGTCAGAAGAGATATTCAGCAACCTATGCTTGCCGTTAAAGGCCAGTATGTTTGTCGTAAGAGGCGACAGTCGAGTTGTCAGGCTTAACTTGGTTGATTCATGTCATCGTATCCCAAATGCGTGGATCGATGCTCATGAAGTCAGTCACTAAATAGTCTGACCCAGACTCGATTATTTACAGACCGCCGTTATAATAGCTTGAATATTGCTGAGTGCGGCGTTAAACAACAGACAAACAAATAAACACTCTGAATCTTTGATAACGTCATAATAGAATAGAGCTAGGAAATGATAATAGAGACTGGGGATCCAATTCCAATTTACGTTTTTCATTCACATTGCTGTACACACGCTCTTTCATTAATACATTAACAATTCTGCAATAAATAAAGATTCTGTGTTAGCTGCCTCCGTGGTATAATGGATAGAGTGTCTGCCCGAAGAGCGGAAGGTCAGTGCCAAGAGAGGTTAAAAGACGACTTTTGTTGTTGGCGCTCGGCATTACGGGGCTAAAACAAGGACGGGTCATCTCGGAGTCAGGATACTGCGTCTGGGGTACCATGTTGAAACTACAGCATGGTATCTCAGTGGGCTAGAGCTTTAGCATCAACATTAGTCTGGACTAGTACAATCTACCACACACACACACACACACACACACACACGCACACACACATGCGCACGCACGCAAACACACACACGCACGCAAACACACACAAACACACACACACGCAAAAAAAAACACACATACAAAGACACACAAACACACACACACTCACACTCAAACACACACACACGCAAACAAACACACACACATTCAAAGACAAACAAACACACGCACACACACTTGCACGCAAACACACACGCACGCACGCAAACACACACGCACGCAAACACACACACTCAAACAAACACACTCACACTCAAACACACACACGCGCAAACAAACACACACATACAAAGACACACAAACACACACACACACATACACTCAAACAAACACACTCACAGACACTCAAACACACACACACACGCAAACAAACACACACACATTCAAAGACAAACACACACACACGCAAACAAACACACACACCTACAAAGACACACACTCACTCACACACACACACACACACACACTCAAACACAGACACACACGCGCCATATTGTCAGACATGGCTTTCAGTATCCGTATAAAATACAAAAAGCACCAGGCGTTATAACATTCACACATTAGGGCCTGTCACGTTTTTTGATAATTTCAAAAAATATGTTCCACAGAAAAAATACTTTATGTTTTTTATATATCAATAAAAGACCACGCCCGTCATTATATGAGTTCAGTAATCTCCATTCCACCTCACCTGTTTCTTTTGTAGTGGAAGACGGACAGAGGCTAGAGTTCTGTGCCCCTGGCTTACCGAGGCTCCAATTCCTTGACAATGGCGACTTCCAGAGGACCCCCCCACCCTACCCATGTTTCGACTGTATGTGTGACGAAGAGGGCCTGTCCTGCTGCGAGTACGTATGCACTGTCGCTGCTGTGAGTGAGTGTGTGAGTTGGGTTTAACGTCGCTTAGAGCATTGTTCTAGTTATGTCACGACGTGTCAGTTAAATGTTGGAGGAAAGCCCTAAGTGGTGCAGGTCTTAGACGTTTACCATTTTGATGAAACCCACGACCACGGTGGTGATGTGAATGATCTTAACGATCTTAACCTGTACGCCAGTGTTGTTTCACTTGATTGAAATAATTGATCACATATTTTGCTTACCCTTTTCGTGTCATCCTTGATTTTCAATGATCCATTCATATAAATTTCTTCATCGCTATTTTGCCTTTTTACCCCCAATGGAATCTGATTCGGCAAGTAATCTCTGGCGTGCGTGTGTGTGTGTGTGCGTGTGCGTGTGTGTGCGCGCGTGTGTGTTCCTTTAAATAAAATCATCAGAGCACAACATAATTTTCTTGCTGTTTATTCTGTATCAAGCCATATTCAAAATAAATAAACGTACATCATGCATTTTAAAAATATAAAAAAGAAAATATGCCCACAGTGCGTCTGACGATCGAAGTGTATACGTTAAGTAATACCCATGCATTCATGACTTAATTCACTGGTGATTCTCCTTGTTGCAGGTGCGAGCGAGGAAGGCATCAAGGGTGAATGTGTGATTAAAGGGAGCTAACTCTTGATTGAGGTCTTCTTCGCCTTATTTCATGACCTTGTGTTTCCGGCCTCGTGGCGCCATTCCAGACATGACATGCGTACAACGTCCCACGCACCATGGCGACAGTTACAACAGTTCAATAGAAATGGAACACATTTGTAAAAAAAGATCGCCCATCAGTCATTTGTTCACTGTAGCTATTTTGCTCTGTTTTGGATAACGCAAAATGTAATCTGTCATTATATTGACCGTATGTGTGAAAACGATGCCCGTTTGAACAAGCAACAGCTTAAAGGGAAGGTTATAAATCACACTTTCCTACCGGTGAAAATCGATGATCAATGCCTGATAATATAGGGTTCCGAATAACAGAGAGATGGGTCTATTGATGGTTGTGTTTCATGTGTTGTTTTTGATTAACGACCAACCTTTACCAGTCAAGGCGGGGAGTTGTTTCAGACAGGATATTTTTCGGGCTCTTCTTCAAAACAAACTATGTTTTCTTGTGAAAGGGGTGTCTGCACAATTTAAACAGATCACAAATGTTGTTTCGGGGCATCAACTATGTTCAAACTGAGGAATATTATATTATTATCTGAAAAAAAATAGCATTTACAGGTTGAAATTCAACATGTGTTTTCCTTTTTCAGTGATTATTGTCACCAAATGTGAAGTTTTTTTATTGACTAAAACAATGGGTCTTCATGAGTAATATTTCGTCAAGCTGATCAGCATAACATATTTCCCTAATGTTCTATCTATATAATGCTTGCTCGGTGTCAGTAAAGACACGTTCCACCCGCTCTGGTCTCATTACCTACCAGACAAACATGGCTGACCTCGCAGAAAAACCGGAATCCAAATCAACCATTTTGTCCACCATCGTCAAGCCTGTTGGGTATTTTTCACGTATAATACCTGTTGAATGTTGTTTACTATAAACGTGTTGTGTACAGCGCCATTATCGATCATACAATCAGGAACTGGTGAAATGAATATCTGTAGAAATGCACCTGGAACTAGTGATGCATACTATATTTGGCGAACACTTTCAACGTGTTCCATCATGAGAGAATGAAACAATGATATTTTCGGAAATGTAACATCTTATCAGATATACACATATTTTAAAAGCGTAAACGTAGACTATTTTTTTTTTTTTATCTTTGGAGCCGTAGCTCCGGTTATAAGTCAAATGTTCCAATTAGCCTTATCTGGACAGGCACGCAGGGACGTATATCGTTGTTACATCCAAGTTTCATTCGATCAAGTTAACGAATAAAATGACGATATCATAATATTATGTTATCTTGTTTCGTAGACGAGCGAATCCGACCATTCAATACTCTCTTGCATGCTGAATACACGGTTATCTCCCCTGGTCTGCCGAGCTGAGGTTTATCTGACAGATGAAGTTGATTCTCCTGTCGCACTTGATGTCGACCCACTTGTTCTTCCGGCTGATAGCCAGGCAGTGTTCAGCCCCCGCAGCATTGTTTGGTTCCCTCTTCTTCCACATACGATGAAAGAAATGTTTCCTGGCCGAAAACCAGCGCCATGCTCCTTCTTTGGGAAGATCCGTCCCGCCCAGGAAGTAAAACTTCCCTGTTAAAAGACGAATGCGAATTATGAAGATTGTTGATTTGTTTGTTTGTTTTACATCGCAGTCAGCAATTATCTAGCAATATTACGACGGCCTGTAAATAATCGAGTCTTGACAAAAAAGTAACAATTGTTGCTGCTATGGTCAATGTCCCACGAGGTGGGGTTCTATGACACGCAATCACTGCAACCAAGTCATCCAACTTGGCACACGATACGTTTAGTCGCTTCTTAAGACAAGCATTGGTTACTGGCATTGTGTGAAATACTTTCGCGCCCTTCAAGCCAGAGTTAGTCACTGGTTTGGGTTTAATGCGCGTTTGAAAACTATACGGATCATATCACGGCGCGTCAGCTTAATGAGGAGGGAAGTCCAAAGTGATGCAGGTCTCAGACGTTTACCACTTTGGTGAAACCCACGAGCAGGTTGCTGACAAACCCAGAATGTAAATCATGGAAATACTGCCTAAACCAGCTGCCTAGCAACAACATGCTTAAAAACATACAGCGATAGATACAGCGCAATTTTGCTAGAGGGAACTGAAAGCACTGTTCTACGATTCATCCTCTCCTTAATCAAACTCACGTTGTAAAAAATCGTAAACAAGCAAGCTTATAACCATACATGGCAACACGACGCTATGCAGTCGGGATTTGCAGTAAAGCATTTCCTTGACTAAGCAAATCTACACTGGCTGTGATCTAAAATCAGTAATGCGTCCTGAAGGTTCCTAGATAGCCGAGCAGGTAGGAATATATTTCTCCTGTCAAACAGTTACTTCCGACTTTGGGGTAACTTGGGATCTATTCTTTCTTGGGTTCTCAGTGGGGAAGTGATGACGAAAGAATGAGTGAGTATGGTTTTACGCCGCTTTTAGCAATATTTCAGCAAAATCACGGCCGGGACGCCAGACATAGACCATGTGAGGAATTGGGGGGCAAGGGTGGCGCCGCGATTCGCTGTGCAGAGTTGCGTCCCTTTGGCACGCCAGAAACCTATGATTGTGGGTTCGAATCCCGGTTCGCCCCGATTATGTTTCAAGGTTTGTCAGCACCATACCCGTGCTCGTGGGTTTCACCGAAGTGGTAAACGTCTGAGACGTGCATCACTTCGGGCTTTCCTCCAACATTAAGCTGACACGCCGCGATGTAACTGGAATACTGTTAAAAGCGGCGTTAAACCCAACTAACTCACTCATTCACTCACTCGCTCAGAATATCACGTGATGTCAGCGAGAAGTCGCATAGTTGCTGATGCGGCGTTAGAAAACAATCGCTCATTCACTCCTGCAAGCATCATGCTGGATGACGAGTGAGTGAGTATAGTTTTACGCCGCTTTTAGCAATACTCCAGCAATATCACGACGGGGGACTCCAGAAATGGACTTCACACATTGTACCCATGTTGGAATCGAACCCGGGTCTTCGGCGTGACGAGCGAACGCTTTAACCACTAGGCGACCCCACCGCCCGTTCGATGAAAAGCCGAACAGGTTCTCGTCTTGACGTTTGTGTGAAACCCAGTGGTACGGGTATGATGCTTGCACTTCCAATATTTTTGTCTCGGGGAATATTGGACGTGAAACAAATATTTGGAAAAGAAGGTTATGTGACTCAAGGATGACGCTCACAGAAACACGGCTTTTATCTTGTGGAAATTCTTGGTTCGGTTGCCATCTTGTTCAGTGGGTGAAATCATGGTGTACCTCGTCACGATATGAACTCGTCCTCAAAGCTGCAAAAACACCCACTCACGCACACTAAAATGACATGCACTTCATACTCACCGCGTCTTTTCTTCACTTCATTGGTGACCAATCTACGGAGATAGCGGTTGTTTACCATGGCTAAGTTAGATCCCATCATACGGCAGTAAGTCTGGAATTATTCAAGACACAGTTACATAAACCAGACCAGGTCATTGTTTTCCAATATACATTACTCGTCACGATATGGCTGAGATATTGCCGATGTGACGTAAAGCATAAACTCACTCACTCACTGACACTCCAATATATATTAGCATTCGATGTTTGTTTGTTTGTAGTTTTACGCCGCACTCAGCAATATTCCAGCTATATGACAGCGGTCTGTAAATAATCGAGGCTGGACCAGTTAATCCAGTGATTGATATCATGAACATCGCTCCACGGAATTGGGATACGATGACATGCATCAACCAAGTCGAGCCTGACAACCCGATCCCGTTTGTCGCCTCTTACGACAAGCACAGTCGCCTTAAAAGGACAAGCATGGGTTGCTGAAGACCTATTCTATCCCGGATCTAAAAAGGTATATCCGCATTTGATTAAAAGTTGCTGATGTAGAGTTTTCGTTTTAATATTTTCGAATTATTGACCCTTCTCACAAACCTTGTGTCGTGACACAGAATATCATACCTGCCATAAGCCGTTTGGAAGGAATCGAGCATTGCGTTCGAACTGGCCACAATGAACAGATAACTGTTTTCTTCATATTTTCGATAGATGCAATTTGTGAATTTACAGATTCCCCGCTTAAATCTGCACATATTCACATATTTATCAAAATTAGATCAAAATACACAAAATAATATCTAAGGAAGGCATATTTTCGTTCCTAACGTAACCTTTTGGGGAGTGCCTGGCATGGATGGGGTGAAACGTTTAGAAACGTAAACGCATCTCAACTCTACTAATAGTGAGAGAGTATGTTTTACGCCGCTTTTAGCAATATTCCAGCAGTATCACAGCGGGGGATACCAGAAATAGGCTTCACACTTTGCATCCATGTCGGGAATCGAACCCGGGTCTTCGGCATGACGAGCGAACGCTTTAACCACTAGGCTACCCCACCGCCCTCCTCCACTAATAAACCATAAAAAAAACATTATTATTAATATAACATCAATGACAGAGAATAAACAGTTTCGATTAGTTTCAAAACAGATTGCATTTGGCATAAAAGTCAAACCGATTTGGAAATTATATGAATACTGATAAATGAAACGAGGTCCATCGTTTATCAGAGTAAGTGAATGGACGCTAGTCCGGATGGAATACCGTATGGGACACTCCCGCGCCTTTGTACATGAATACTTCATGTATTTGTTGGAGATGAGTGCGAGAGCTTAACGAGACTTTGAACACATTTTCAGTTTGAGGATGTCTAATATATGTGGAAGAAGGCCCAGTTGACGAAACGTTTGACGGTTACAACTGTGGTAAAAGTCCCGAACATGACATGCGGGTGAGGCTTCTAATCTACCCATGATCAGAGTCACGTGACGGAAGGAAAGCCTAGTGGTTCAAGTGTTCGCTGGTCTCGCCCAAGGCCCGGGTTCTATTTTCATAATGAGAACACTGTGTGAAGAACATTTCTGGTTACTCCCAACCGTGATACTGCCGGGATGTTGGTAAATGCGGCGTAAAACCATACCTTTCACCCTCAAATAACCACCCTTCTTTTGCCCCCAGCCCTTATGAAGTCCCACCCTAGCATCAGCCACACGATCGTCATGGGCTTAGATGAGACCATCGTTTACTTCATGTTGGTAAAAGAAGGTATTTCATTGAACTTACATAAGCTTCTGCCCATGAACCGACGAAGTTGGAGAACCAGAAGCAGTTGGACTTGGTGGACTTCTCCTTGGCTGGGAATTGTGTGAATCGCTCAGGACAGCCTATTTGGTAACAGAAAACATAAGCAAAATTGTATATAACTTCATACTTTGAAGTTTACAGTTTTTCTTTCATGCTGAATGGGTAGTAACGTGATCTGATATTTGGAGTTCACACACCTGTGAATGGACAAAACACGTTCACACGATGTGAACAATTTGTTTGTGAAATTGATCATGTGAACTTTTGCCGGAACTACCTTCCCAGGTTTCCCCGAATTCTCGATCTGTATTTACGATCAACTCGTTTTTCTATTTTATTTATAATCCCTGCATTTATCCGCAATATAATGCATTAATTTAGCATTTCTGCCTGGTAATGTAACATTTCATCTGACTTATGAATAAATAAATGCTTTGGTTCTGGTGTTTCATGTCGTCTAGCTACTACATGAAACAAAATGGATTGTCCTTACGGTGATTTGCATATGGAATGGCTGTCTTTTAATACTAATAACGCAAGTAAAGAAAATTAATTCTGTAAAATTACTGAGGTGAACGAAACTGATTTATTGAGCGATATTGACTTTGATGCCTTGTTTTCGGAAATGACAGGAATCTAGCAACAATGAAAACAATGCAGTGCTCAGATGTGGCCGCTGACACAGAGCAAACGCGACTGCTCCTCATAAAAAAAACTTGCCTGTTTTACCTATTCGTCATCGGAGACGAGAAAATATCCGTAGACGGAATTAGAAATCTACTCTTCCGGTTTCTGAGTTGGCCGACCTTCTCCGTGCATTCTAGGCCGAGAAGCGGCGGCACATGAGGAGTGAGGGGGCACAGAAATGAAGCTGGTCATACAGTAAGTAGGTCCATCTCAGGTGACAAGAAACACCAGCTAAGCAAAGTATTACAGCACACGCGACAAATCCCAAACTCCAAATATAACACACCCTGACGTTGAAAATTAACACAAAACACGCAAGTTTCAGAGCACTCAGTTCAATCCCCACCAGTCCATTCCGCATGGTCCGAATTGTTTTGCGATCATCCAAACACAAGCAACACATTCATAAATCGGTGATATTCCCAATTTGCTAGTGCCATGAGAGGGTTCACGCGTCGGGGTGTTTTCCATCAACGTCGTTTTCAACAGCAGTAACTATAAATTTCATCCTCATGCTCCCGTTCGACTCGAACCTCTTTACAAACACATGTGACGTCATATATAAACCGCGCTTGAAGGTTGACCTCGCCTCGGTGCATCGAGGTCATGTTTATATTTTTGTTCACCTTCCTGTAACCTATTTTTTAAGATTTGATTTATCCCAAATATTGTTTGTAAATTTGTTCAGAGAATGAAAATTTTATTATTGCTGGCATATAGCTAGATTATGTTTGTATATATTCAAAGAACTATTTTTCTTTGCGTTACTGAGTATGAGTGGGGAAACGTGTGTGACCGAGCCGGCAAATACCGACAAAATAACATTGTTGTAATGTTCTTCGGCGAAACCAGAGGACTTCAAATTCAAGCAAAACATTGTTACGATATTATTCGCCGAAGCAGGTAAACTACAAGGTATGAAATTATATCGTAACGAATTGAACGTCAGTTTGGATGGGTTCATTGAAGTGTGAACGATTTAAAAACGCTGGTTAAACTTTCGCAAGCTCGGAGGTTCACACAGTTTAACCAGCGCTTTTAAATCGTTCACACTTCAATGAACCCATCCAAACTGACGTTTAATTCTTTAGTATATATGTCAAAAGTAGAGTAAGTGATCAATACTCTCTACTATTGGTACTAGCGAACTAACTTGCTTCAGAAATGTTTGTTTTCGCAGTGATGTTTTGTTTCTTGTTAAACACCGCACTATTCCAGCGTTATGACGGCGGTCTGTAAATAATCGAGTCTGGACCAGACAATCCAGTGATTGATGTCATGAGCATCGATCCACGCAGTTGGGTTGGTTGGTTGGTTGTTTAACGTCGCACTCAGCAATATTCCAGCTATATGACGGCGGTCTGTAAATAATCGAGTCTGGTCCAGACAATCCAGTGATTGATATCATGAGCACCGATCCACGCAATTGGGATCGATGATATGCATCAAGTCAGCAAGCCAGACCACCCGATCCCGTTAGTCGCCTTTTACGACAAGCATAGTCATCTTTTACGGCAAGCATGGGTTGCTGAAGACCTATTTACCCCGGAATCTTCACGGGTCCGAAGCAGTTGGAATACGACAAGCGTCAAACAAGTCAGCGAGCCTCTTACCACAAGCATGGGGTGTTTTGATATTGTGACATTAGTGACACAACAGGCATATGACGAATGTATTGTACAATGCAAAAGATTCGAATAGTGATCATAATGTAAATCAATTTTGGATAAAATATTGAAATTGTAATTCTACATTCCTTTAACCTCAACACGCTAACAGTTACAGATATATTTGACGTATTGTACATTTTCTTTAACATTAACATGTGTTCATTAATTAAACAGCTGAAATATTTTCCCGGAGCGGTATATATACTACTCATATGAACACACGATTTTTTTCATATGACTATATTTAAGCTGTCTAGGCATGATACATTAACTATAGTCATTTGTAAAAAGAATTGGGTGTTCTTTAACATATTTTGAGTAGTATATAAAAATCATGTTTTCGCTTGTTTATCGACACGGATTTCATTTATGAAATACAAATATATTTAAACCGTATATAAAACCTCCTATTCTTAGAAAAGTATACATATGGTCCTTTTTCTTAAATCAACCAACAAATCAAGCAATCAAGTTATCACTTTGTTGTGGGAGGGACATTATGTTATTATGGGGACAAATAAACATTGGTTTAGACTCTCATCTTGGCTTGCTGATCAATCTTACCGTTTCTGGAATCAAACAGTATCGAACTTCGGTAGGTGTCTCCAAGAGGTTGCAGCTGCTCCTGAATATCCTTCAGGTCTATCAACGTCTGTACTTGGCGGGCACCTGTTGTGTCGATTTGCCTAGACATCGTTTGTTCCATTTCATTAAGATGCACGGAAAGTCTGTCAGCTCGCTTGTTGAGGAATTCAACTTTTTTCTTCAACTCCTCTACAACAAAGGTTTCTGAGTCCGAACGGGCTGTAGGATACACACTTTTACGTGTCCAGTCTGTTTGTTTTGTGTTAATATCACTGGACCTGGGTTCCAATTTCGTATTGTCTTCGGATATATTTTTCGGAGGAATATTCTGCAAATTTGTCTGACCATCAGGAACTTTCAGACCCGATGAAGCTGATGAACTCGGTCGGTACGTAGATGTCGTTGTTGGTAAGGGTCCATCTTCCTCGCCAAGGTAATTAGGAACAGAAGAACAGCCGTTAGTTTCAAAAGAGTTTTCATACCTCACCGGCATCTGTGCATCCAAAGTATCAGTAGTTCTGTGTCCAACATATACTGGTAGTACCGTGCAGTTATTATTGACAACTTGTGCAGAAGGAGTATTACCATTGTTTCCATTTCCAAACTTGTCGTTGAGCCTTGGCAATGTTAAATTATCAGTGCGGTTCTGTCTGTTCGTACTGATGACAGCCATGCTGGAGATCGCCTCCATCAGCAATACAACGGCTACTACTCGAAACAGAGCGGCTGAATGTAACGCCATGGTGAGTGAGTAAAGAGGCTACGGAATGTCAACATTGTAGGAAGTCCTGACTTTTATACAGGTTCAAGGGAAGTAGAGGGAATTCAGGGCCGAGGGACAGCTCCTGGGACGTCCGTCGGTCATGAGGAAGACTATATGTGGTAGTGCGTTTACACATGTCCCTGTTGCCCCAGGTCTCCACTATCAGGACGGCGATTACCATTTCGACCTTTGATCATTTCATAGTTCAGCTTTCATTCAGCCAGCTGTTCTGAAGTTGGTAACACACACACACACACACACACACACACACACAAAACACACACACAACACACACCTCTCATGTTTTTAAGAAATAGGTTTATCTTAATTATATCAAGTTGGTTAATGTAACAAACATATAATTATTTATTTTTCTACTTTGGACACCGGTTACCCTATCTACCACGACAAACGTTAGGGAAAACACACACACAAACACGCACACGCACGCACACACACACACGCACGCACGCACGCACGCACGCACGCACACACCTCATATTTTTAAGAAATAAGTTTATCTTAATTATATCAAGTTGGTTAATGTAACAAACATATAATTTATTTTTCATCTTTGTACACCGGCTACCTTATAACACACGACAAATGTTCGGGAAAACACGCACACGCACGCACGCACACGCACGCGCACGCACGCACGCACGCACACACCTCATATTTTTTTAGAAATAGGCTATCTTAATTATATCAAGTTGGTTAATGTAACAAACATATAATTTATTTTTCATCTTTGTACACAGGCTACCTTATAAAACACGACAAATGTTCGGGAAAACACGCACACGCACGCACACACACACGCACGCACGCACACAAATAAAATAAAATATTTTATGTTACTTATAGATCACATTGAACGTATCGGCACTGAAATACCATGGCAATAAACAGATCGACGTATAAACGTCTTTGGACGCAGGAACGGAACGTCACAAAACGTTCACAACCAATGGGAGCGGCGAGACGTCACACAAACACCACATCACGACCTGATGCGTGCATGGCGGATAAGGCGAGCTGTGACTCCTCCAGCAGGTTTGGTGTCACCAGGAAGTGACGCTGTGATAGATGCTTGCGTCGCTGCAAGGACCCGTATTAGATACATCGCATTGGAAAACATACAAGCCATTGCATTTCATTTGTTTACTTCATAACGTTGGGTTCACAAAATACCCTGTAGCGCCACATGAAGTATGTGATCAAGTCGGAACAATACTATCCAATGCATTTGAGATTTCTCTCTTGACAAGTGACTTCCACGAGGGCTTCCAGGCTACTACTGTCGAGGATGCATTACTAACAGAGCATGTGAGGTCACAGAAGTGTTACTTTATTACTTTGTTTGTATTTAACTTTGTTTACCGGAAGTATACCGGGGGGTCAAAGGTCCGTCATAGACTGTGCCATTTGTAGGTTCCCTGTGTTCTGATCGTGTACCCCTTGTTTAAGAGGTTCAAAAGGATTTAGTCGACAATTATTTATAGTTTCATGTCCCAATCACCCCGGATGTATTAATAATTTATTTACATCTCACTACAAACATTTTCAGTGTAGTCTTAACAGCCATTAGTTTAGACAAGGTTACACAACAATTGATAACATGTTTATATTGCACAGTATTGTGCAAAGACACGTAAATGTAAAAGGGGGATATTCCTTCCAATATGTGTAGACTTTGCAAAAGAACTGACACTGTACAAAGAAAAAGGCTATGGGCCATTTTAAACACTTATGATCCAATTTATAAAATTAATAATCTATTCAGTAACATCTATGAGAATATTCAAGGGTATGTAAGGAATAATCATGATTGTTCAGAAACCTTTGATATACAGGCCGGATATAAGACAAGATTGTTTTTTATAGTCCCTTTTCATTTTCATTATTTATAAATGAACTAGCAACTCAAATTAAAAATAACTGCACGAATGATTAAAAGTACACCCGGATATGGTTCATTTATGTCCTGTAATATTTGCAGATGATATTGTGTCAATTTCAGTTATGTGTGGTCTACAGAAACAAAATTAAGAAAACAAACAATTATCGTGAACAATGGAAATTAACGGTAAATATGGATAAACAAAGGTAACTGTATTTAGAGACTGAGGGCAAATTATCAAAATATGAACAATTTTGAACAAATAGAAAGAGTACACTTAAAAGCATGTAAGAAATTTGTAAAAACAAATATACATATCATGGTTATATCATGAATGTGGCAGATATCCTTTATATATTTTACAATATTAAATTTAAAAATACGCTGCCTTGGATCCGTGTTTTCAATTCCATTCAACAAAGTTTTATTTAGCCAAATTGAAGCACACTAACACCTTCCATTTTACAATATGCTCGAAGTGAGTGAGGTATTTGGGTTTAACGCCGCTTTGAATAGTACTGGCAAACATAGCATGTAAGCCATGAACATACTGCCTAGCAACAACATGCTTCAAAAAGAATCACAGCGATAGAGGAATTGTACTCGAGGCAATTCATTAATTGTAACCACTGTTCTACGATTGATCTGCTCCTAAATCCAACTCTCGTCGTACAAGTTCGTATACACGGAACCTGAAACCCCACGGGATGGTGCTGACAAACCAAGAAACGTAACCGGGCGAACCGGGATTCGAACCCACAATCATAAATTTCTGGCGAATTGATGCGCCTTAGAAGACTGGTCCAATTGCGCCCCCAATAAGCCAGGAGACAACTGGGCGCGATACGGCGTCTAAGGGACTGCAATTATCCGTGAAGAGTTGCAGTCCTTATTTGTGCCAGGATCCTATGACCATGGGTTGAATCCCAGTTTCGGCCTTATTGTGATTGTGTTGTCATCACCACACGTGTACTTGAGTTGTTAGTTATGATTGTGGGTTCGAATCCCGATTCGCCCCGATTATGTTTCTAGGTTTGTCAGCACCATATCCGTGCTCGTGGGTTTCACCGAAGTGGTAAACTGTCTGAGACCTGCATCACTTCAGGCTTTCCTCCCACATTAGGCTGACACGCCGCGATATAACTGGAATAATGTTAAAAGCAGCGTTAAACCCAACTCACTCACTCCTAGTGGTAAAGGGATAAAAGTCCTGCCTCACTTTGATCTTTCCTCCAACATCAAGTTGCAGTGATGCAACTGAAATACTGCAAAATAACTCAAAGCAGCTTTAAACCTGAGTCATGTACTGCAACAAAGACCTTGTCCTCGTGTTTGAGTAGGCGTCACAAGTATGTCATGTTGACATTGTGTAAGGATATCTCGCTGTGAAGATCCGTATCCATCATCAAAATGCCCCATTTCAGGGAGGTGATTCCTGTTCCTCAAATTATGTCCACATTTGCCACTAAACATAAACGAACGTCTTACTTCCCCCGTATGGAGTATTGTGTGGGAGGTCAGCTTGGGTTTTTGACCCGTGTGGTTTGTAAATACTATTTATTATTTCTTCTCCTCACAACAATGCGGGGACGGTCAGGTAGCCAAGTGGTTAAAACGTTCGCTCGTCACGCCGATGACCCGGGTTCGATTCCCCACATGGGTACAATGTGTGAAGCCCATTTCTGGTGTCCCCCACCGTGATATTGCTGGAATATTCCTAACAGCGGCGTAAAACCATACTCACTCACTCACTCACTCACTCACTCACACACCAATGGAACCGAGGAGGTTTATTACTTTAAACCACATTCATCATTTCAAAAAGATGTTACCTTACTCACACATACAAGCTGTACATTGCCTGGCAAAAGAAAGTAAACACACATGTTTGATGGTGACTGAAAACAAGCACCAAATGGTTATTGGGTGGTGATGCGTTTGATACGGGTATCATTAGTTGTGTTTTGAACATTAAGTCTGAAGTATTTCGGCGACTGTGTTCAGCCTAGTAATAGTAACGTTTGCAATTGTTTGGTAAAATCCAATTTTCAAGTGTATGCTTTTTTCCGGGCTTTTTTTTCAGGTTTCGAGAATGTCAATGCTTTGTCATTGGGAAGCAGGGAGTGAGTGAGTATGGTTTTACGCCGCTTTAAGCAATAATCCAACAATATCACGGCTTCATACATTGTACCCATGTCGGGAATCGAACCCGGGTCTTCGGCGTGACGAGCGAACGCTTTAACCACTAGGCTACCCGACCGCCCCTGGGAAGCAGGGAGGGAACACTTGCTAAGAACACTCATTAAGGAGATAAACATTAAGTGTTTTCAGAGTTTGGGGATATATTGAATATTTGATTTCGGATAGTTTCATTTCGAACTGAAGACGTTGCAGGACATGTTAACGTGTACGGGCATCACTACTCAAATCTGAAAACACATAGTTGTCGACATTGCAAAATACAAAAGTAGATTTCTACGTGTACTCTCAAAGTTGTGAGACAGACATGACGTCACTCTGATGGCTCCCTGGAATGTGACGACGTCATGATAACTCAACCGACCTGGTAAGCAAAAAAAAATCGAAGTTGATATGATAAATATTGAACAAACTTAATATCTAATAAACGCGGTATTCATTTTGCCAAACCGAATGTCACAGGTTGTTCTTTAAAATCTGATTGAGAACAGAGATATTTATCCACAGATATATTTATATACAGTGAGTAGTCCCACTGAAATCTAACATCCTCGATATTGCAGTAAAATTGCACGTGTTTGTTTGCTTTTCAAATATGTGATTTAGAAAAACACATCAAGAAAAGTATTCATACGCATTGAAAAGTCCGTTAGATCTCCGAGGTTCGAATCCCATTTGAGAATATTTTCAACCAATTAGATTACGACGCACATTGTATCATAAAATCTATTCGCCATAAGGTCAGTGACGACAGAGCGAAACAGTGATCCATGGTGATTGGACACAGCATGGAATATCTACGGAAGCATAACCACATTTGTTGATGTTGTGGAATTAAATTGCTAACGTCAGCAAAACATGTACAAACGTCTAACATAGATCCTCATATATAAAGTTAGAAGTTCCGGATATAAACCTAATTGTTCCGGATATAAATTTGAGAGCTGTTGTTCCGGACGTACAGCTTACAGTTCCGTACATACGGCTCGTGTATCACTGCCATCACGCTTCCTTTCAGAAGAACCCTCGGATGGGAGTTGAGTGAGTGAGTGAGTGAGTTGGGCTTAACGCCGCTTTTA